ATTATTTACATCTAGTATACATAATTACGTAATGCTCATATTACTTATACATTAGTGAAAAAAATTATCTTATAAACAATCAGCAAATGAAGGTTTTTTGTGAAAAATATATTCAGTGGTTTTAAATATCAAGGTCACATTCCTTTCCTTATAGCCTTAGGTTGATCTAAACCTCCATCATTGAATACTTATTTTCGTGAAAATGTATTTGTTTAACCTGAACTGCATATTCTGAGAAACTAATTCAAATGTAATGTAAAATCTGAAAAAAAAAACAACAACATTGAAACAGTAGAGGCCTCACAGATCCTCCCAGGAGAGCCATGCGAGGATGGCTCCCATGGTCATGGAGGATGGCCCAGAGCCATCCTCCCTCCCATGTTGAGTTTTACTCAACCCTCGTTGAGCATAATGGACATAAATATAATGCAAAGTGATCAACAGTAGTAAACTTACTTGGTGCGGATGTACGCAAATGCCTGCTTCAACTGGGAGGTGTTCCTGGGCGGAGATGAGGGTACAGCGCATTGAAGCTCCCGGAGACCTTCTCCCATGCCTCCTGCTTCTTGGTAATACTAGCAGGATCATGCATTTTCCCCAGGAGCCGATTTGTGCTCAGCTATTAGAGAAAGGATGCTCTCCCTCTGATCCTCCGATAGGTGAATTTGTTTTTCCCGTTGAGTAGCCATCACCGCCCGCTGTTTACATCAACTGACAGGAGAACAGGCGTACCAACTGTTCGAAAACGACGAACGGGGGCCCAAAGTGAATGGTGCCTGGCCCAACCCAATTTACGCTCGTTTAACAAATTCATTTGAACTGTTCAGGCTAGCCACAAACAAAATTATGATATCCCGAATTGCGATGTTTAACAAACTGGCCGTAAAAATGTGCTGGGGCTCTCGGGAAGATTACAAAGGTAGTGCTGCGAGATATCAGTATTTTTTTTTTTGTTTTCATGTATTTTCATTACAAATTGGTATTAACAATATTAGGTATAAGAATAATTTACTATAATATAATCCTTTACCATTTACTTGCATTCCGAAGTTTTGCCGAAATTCCTAGCAAGTAATATCATCTCACTAAGCGACATTTGTTATAATAAGGGTCATAATGATTTGGGGTGTTATAAGTCTACATTGACCTTTTTCAAAAATTTCTTAACACCCCCCCCCCAAAAAAAAAAAAAAAAAAAAAAAAAACAGGTATTCTGATTTCATTTTCGAACAGAAACACCTTTTATCTAGTGCTTGTATGGAGCAGTTTTTTTCGATTATGCCTTACATTCGGCTTTGTGAATATTTTGTGTAGACGACTCTTAGAACACTATAAAAGACTTTTATACTTATGTCACTTTAACAAGAAGCACAGAAAAATCTTCAAAAACTATATGCAACAAGCACAAGATTTTTCATTCAGCTACAAACTGTGAGTCATAAAACTTTTATTTCAAACTAAAAATGCGTGTGCTTTTGAAGACTACAAAGGGTCCCACTTGAGTTGGGGTGTTTCTCGGCTTACATAAACCATTTTCAAAGATTCTCTAAAAAAAAAAAATAAATAAATAAATAAATAAAAAAAATAATAATACAGTCATTCTGATTTCATATATGAAAAGAATCTTTCATCTATAGCATGGTAGTACATTTTTCGACTTGGACCTACTTTTTGGTGTCAATGTTTTACGTAGACGACTCTGAAGGCCACAAAAGGGGCCATGTATGTGTCACTTTTACAAGCACATGAAAATATTGCAAATCCATATTGTATCATGCCATAGATCTACTATTCAGCTACAAAATAAGCCATATAACATTAATTTCAGACGGAAAATGTGTAGGCTATAAGTGTAGAGTACCAAAATATCACAACTTGTTCTCCCCCCCCTTTTATTTTTTATTTTTATTTTTTACATTATTAGTAACAGATCACTGAATATTGTATATATAATTATCTATTATTTCCCTTTATTATTACTTAATTGGGTTTTCCAACATATACTGGTTTGAAAAATGATCTTTCTCCATGCCAACGAGTATCACAGGCGAGCGTCTCAGGCCTCATAATTCCAGTGGAAGAAACATTCCACCTTTCATAACAACACTTCTGTGAAATACGGATACAAATACAGGGTGGGAAAACTATGTATATAAGATATATTTACAGACCATTTCCATGTATTCCATGACCTTATGTTTATATATTATTGTTACTTTTGTTTGTTGGGTGGTTGATTTGTGTATGTTTGTATAACACAAATAGTTCAACAGAATTTAAATGAAATTTTTACCCGAGGTGTGCCTTATATTTAGATTCCATAAAATTTTGCTGGTCATTTGGCAAACCTTCCCCCCCCCCCAATCTGAGAGGGGTGTGTTGATATGTTCAAAACATTTTGCTTAAGAATGAAACTGACGAAATATGATCAAATGTAAATAAAAGAAAATATTCTATATAAATGGTATATCATATTTGTATACAGATTTTTTTTTTTTTT